CCGCTGTCGGCCTGCCGCCGTCGGCGGGCGCCGCCGGCGGCTGCGGCTGGGTGGGCGCCATGTCGAGAATAGAAAACGCGCCCCCAAAGTCGACGACGCCCAGCTTTGCGCTGTCGCAATTCAGCGCCAGGCGGTGCGGGCGGCAGCGCAGCAGGTGCTGCGCCTCGAGCGCCAGGCCGGGCAGGCTGCGCGCGGCGAGCGGCGACCCAGTACAAGAAGAACAGGCGGTTGAATTGTGACAACGGATCCCCCGCACCTTCCCGGGACCAGGGTGCACAAGAGGGCTGAGTAAGCGTTAGAATTGCCCTTGCACACACGCCTATGCTGGCACTCCCAAGATCTGAATGGTTGATTGGCCCCTCTTTGGAAAATCCCTTCGAGCGGCCCCACACACCTGTAGCGGTACACGACCCCCGAGGAGCGCGCCACCACCAGGCAGCTGTTGCTGGCCGCGACCGCCGCCACGGGGTCGGCGCTCGCGCCCGCGCCACCTCGGGGGGCCTTGAACGCGTCCGGCGGCTGCGCGTGTGTGGTGATGGTGCATGGGGTGAATCGGCCGTTTGTTGAGGGCGCCAGGTCCATTTCCATTGGGTTGACGCACGTTGTCACGGCTGGCTGCTGCCCTCAGGCTGCTGCCTTTGAAACATGCATATACTGGGTTCTACTGTCAAAGGGGTGCCCTGCCAGCGCACCATGTGGGTGGAAGGGTCGTCGATGCTCATGATGCGGTCGCGCGCCTCACGTGCCTGGCTGCCTGCCGCACCCGCCGCTGCGGGGCCCACGTTGGCCGCCGCGGCCGCGGACTCCGCCGGCGACAGCTTTGAGAAGCTGCTGCGAAAGTGCCACGTGAAGACGAGCTCGTCGCCTGGGGAGGACGGGGTGGAGTTTCACAGCTAGCGCAGCGTGCATTTAATGATGAGCTGAGATGCTGCCATGGTTTCCCAAGCATGTGGTGCAAGAAGAACATAGAGGAGCAGCAGCAGCAGCAGCAGCAACAGCAGCAGCAGCAGCAGCAGCAGCAGCAGCAGCAGCAGTGGCAGCAGCAGCGGCAGCAGCAGCGGCAGCAGCAGCGGCAGCAGCAGCAGCAGCAGCGGCAGCAGCAGCGGCAGCAGCGGCAGCAGCAGCGGCAGCAGCAGCGGCAGCTCCGGTAGCTGCGGCGGCTGAAGCTGTAGCTGCAGCCACCCGCTGCAGTCGCAGCGAATGGAGGCGCAAAGGTATCACCCACTTGCTGCAATGACGTGGGTGTCTGTGATGCACAGATGCTTGGGCTCATGGTCAATGTACCTTCGGAGCAGCAGCAGGACGCGTGGTGGCGAGTGGCAGCGGGGGTGCGCATGTGGGCAAAAGTGCGTGTATGCAAGGATGGCCAGGTTTCGAAAGAAGCAAGCAACGCTTGTAGAGGCAGTGAGATAAGAGACAGCCTGCACCACTTGTCGGTCAAATAGCGTACGCCTGGTCAAACTTTTGTTTTTGTGCTTTTGCAGGCGCAGCCCCAGACGACGCCCTGTGGTGCGCGCACCTGCTGTCTACGGGGCTGCCTATGGCGTTGCACAGTATCAGCACGTGCTCCCCCGGCGCGTCGCCTCGTGTCGCCAGCACGGCAAAGTCGCCCGCGGCGCGCATGCCCACCAGGCGGCGCACAAATTTGGCGTACCTTGGGGTGAGGGTTGGTGAGGGGTGGCAATGATAATGTATCGTCTCCGCAGAGCATATCCATGCAAGAGGGTGCACTGCTGATGCCAGCACCAACACCGAGGCCCCCCGTCACTCCACAAAACAATCTTCAAGGCACGCACCTTTAAGCTGCACCATCGCAAACCCGTGCCTGCTGCGCACAAACAAGTGCACCCGTGGCGGCCCACCAGTCGACCCCGGCCGCCTCCCCAGCTGCCGGCTCCCCACCTGCTGTTGCTGCGCGTGTCCCAAAACACCACGCAGTGCTCCTGCGGCCGGTCCGGCCGCACAAACGTGTAAGCTAGCGTGCTGCCAAAGTAGCCCCACAGGTGGTCGCGCCGCACGCTGGCAAACAGCACCGACGCCTCCACAGCCAGCGCCACCCTCAGGCCGCCCCCCTCCCACGTGGCGCCCGAGATGCCTCCGCCGCCGCCGCCCGCGCCGCCGCCGCCGCCGGGCGGCGCGGGGACGCGCAGCGTGCGCAGGTGCTCGCCAGACGGGGAGTAGAGCTGCAGCAGCCACGGTTCCCGGCCGGCGTCGGGCCCTGACGCGACGAGCTGCATGCCCCACACCGCGAGCGCCTGGCGAGCAACAACGATTGCAGCAGAGCTTTCGATCACCAACAACGTGTGCATTGGAAATAACAGCCACCAAACAAAGGGCTGCGACTTGATCAATGCTGGCACTCTTGTTGCAAGACGAGCCACACCGCGCGGCGGGAGCACCGGCCCCCTAACCTAGCCGCAGCAGCGCCGCAACCGGGCGCGTCTCGCGCCCACCATGCCGTCTGAGCTCCACTTGGCACCGCGCACGCGCATGCCCGTGTCGACGCACACGCCGCCGTCGTCCGCTTCGTGCGCCATCAGCTGCAGGCGGCCGTTCTCGAGGGCCAACGCCAGCACGGGCGCGCCGGCCGCGTGGGGCCCGCCGCCGCCGTCGTACCACTCGACAGCAACCAAGCGCGGATTGCCTGTTGGAAATGCGAGGGCAGCAATCCTGTAGGTAGGCAGCCAGATGGTGTAGTTGCACGGGACAACCTGCATGGTGCAGTACTGCGTGCATCGTTTACATGCAACACCCTCTCTCCTAATAACATGCGCGCACACAGGCCCACCGGCGCCCACCCGCAGCCAAACGCACGGCCCGCTCGCAGCGCCCGCCCGGAGCCGCGCGCTCACCCCCGTATCCTTCGTTGCAGTAGAGCGGCACCTTGCCGACCGCGTTGCCGCTCGCGTCGTACGCGTGGCACTCGCCGCCAGCCGTCCCGAACAGGATCAGCCGCGCGTCTGCGCTCCACTCCACCAGGGACAGCCCCATGCCCAGGTCCTTGCCCCAAAGGCGGTTGCCGTCCACACTGCGGGGACCAGTTTCAAGCGCATCAAGTCGCGCCACCTTTGGAATTGGCAATCCTGAGCTCGCTGTCGGAAGAGCTTACACCCGGAAGCATCTGCAAGTGGCCAGCAGCCGCTGTGGCGGCGGACCCTTGCCGACGTCCGGACGCGGACGGCGCGAAAAAAAGGCCGCGCGCAGGCGCGCGGGGGCGCGGGCGCTGGCTGCGTCGTCACCTGCCGACGATGACGGCGCCATCGTCGTAGGCGATGCAGATCTTCTCGCCGCCGGGCGTCCAACGCATGTCGCGCACGAAGCTCTTGTTCCTGCGACAGCAACCCGCCGGCGGCGTGGTCGTTGACCTCCCCTCGCTGCCGCGTGCCGCACCTGTGCATTTGCAGGCGCCGCAACAAACCTGATCGCAGCTGCACCCACACCCACCGCCACCCACGGCCTGCCGTCCCTCGTCGAATTGAACCCGCGCCAAACGCACATGCGCACGTCCCCGCTCTCGCCCTCCCTCGTTCTCCCCGCCCGCGGGCCCCCGGGGCCCCGGCGCGCCTGTTATTCACCATCTCTTCAAACCAGGCGCCGTCCTGCAGCGCCCACACGATGATGAGCCCGCCCTCATCGCTGCTGGCCAGCTTTTGGTACGGTCCGTTCCACGCCACACCCGTCACGGCCCCGCTGTGCCCTTCCAAGTTTTGGTTCATCGACAGCGCCCCGGCGGCGGCGGCGCCGCCGCCCGCCGCGGCCGCCCCGTGGCTGGGCGGCGCCGCAGCCTTCGCATCGCCGCCGCGCCTGGGAGCGCCTTCCAGCCGCAGGACCTGTTCCAGCCATGGAACCAGTGTTATGGAGCGCCAGCTGCGGCGTCTGTCCGGTAGCTAGGTCCTTCTTATGGGACCTCAAGAGTTCCGCTCTGCATGCGTTTGTATGGGTGCGACAGCGGCGCACGTGCGGTAGGCTGGCCTGCAAACAGCCGCCTCACCTTGAGCATGCCGTTCTCGCCTCCACATGCGATCCATCCCTGGTCCTTGTCCCACGCGACGCATCGCAGCCGCACGCCGTTTGGGATGGCGATCTTCTTGCTGCAGCGGCAGCATGCGTGCACGTCGGCGTGGCGTGATCAGGGGTGTTGGACATGTGGCTGAATTGCAAGGCGAAGGCAGTGCTCGCACATATGATATTCTAACGGTTGTCTACGCTTGCTCACCTCAAGAACGCAAACATTGTGGCAAGCGAGAGTCTGGTGTCCCGCAAGCGAGGGGTCAAGATCGCGCCCCGTGTCGCTCTCAGGACGCTTGAGATAAAACAAGCGCAACTTTCAAAGAACTCAAAGGCAATCCGTGCGGCTGCGCCCCACTCAGATCATCTCTGTTTGACTTGGGCACACATCACGGCGCTTTCATCGTTGAAAAGATTGAGATGCAGATGCAATACGCAACATATCCTCTATGATAGGGTACGGCGTGCGTGCTCTCGTGCAACACACAAGCTGTACTTGCGGTTGTCACACCTTGTGCCTACGACCACCATCGGCATCAGGCAGCCCGCTGCCCACATACCAGCATACCGTCAATCAAGACAGGCAGACCCGCACCTGCAGCACACACATGAAATGCAGCCTGAACGTATCCTAAGGGTTGTCAGCCAGGAGTATTTACATACGTTACCATACACAGATTACAGCCAGCACAAGTGAAGAAGCACTGGAAAGCAGGCATCTTTCACACCGGCCCGGCCGCTTCTCATGATCAGCGCCGCCGCCCCTCCTTGCCGCTTCCATGGCCGCGGTCTGCGGCTCGTCGTGATGCATCCACCAGGGCACGCTCAAACAAGTCCTTTGCCCCCTCACTCCCGTGCACGTCTCTGAGCTTCCCGTACGCCTCATGCAGCCGCCGCGAGATCGCAGCCGCACCGCCCCGGCTGCTGAGGGCCGCTGCCGCTGCTGCCGATCGCTTGGCTTGGCAAGACTCCCACTCGGGCTGCGGTCGTGTGGGTTATCATGTGATTGAGGGTTTGAGGCTTCAGGTGCACGCACGTAATTGTCTTCAGGTGCACGTAATCGTGGAGATGAGCGGACGCAATCGTCATTCACCTGGCCCCTTGCTGCCCCACACAGCATTGCGCACGCAAGGCCGCCGACCAGAAAGCTGGCGGGCGGGTGCAGCTCGCGGTGCTGGCCGGCACGCTCCCGTTGCCGCTGCTTCGGCAGCTGCAGCGCTCCCGCGTCTGTCCCGCACTACACACCACCCACGCAGCCCCCAGAGTCACGCAGCTTCCAACCGCACCTGCACGGTCATTCGCTGCGGGGCGTTTTCGACCGTCGCGTCGTATATGGCGCCGCTGACACGCCCGGCAAAGTCGCCCAGCACGCGTACGTACCATGAGCCCGGCACCAGGCTGACTGATTGGATTTGTGTCTCCTGGTACTGGCTGAAAGACTGGTCCTCCTCAAACCTGAGTGGGCAAACGCAGGGAGGGAAATTTTGGCAGGCGAGCTCATATCAAAATGCAGGTGCACCACGGGGCGACCAGATTGCCACCCTGCTGCAGGCGGCGGGCCCACGGTCGCCGCTCCGCCTTCAGCACGCCCGTCCGCAGTCGATGCGTCGCCGCAACCGACGCAGCGGCTGCGAATTTGGCCGGCGGACCTTGCAGGCCGGAACGAGGCACCCAAAACCTCACCAGCAGAGGTCGGTCTCCCCGCGTTTGCGCCGCTGCGCGTCGTCCAGGCACAGGTTCCAGCTGACCCCCTGCATCAGCAGCCGCGGGCTGAGCGTCGCGTGTCCCACAAAGTCCCCCGTGACGGCCACCAGCACGTGCGTCACGTTTGGCTGCACGCCGCAGTCCGCGCGGCAGCCGAAGGGGCCCCACGCGGGGAATTCCCAGGGCGCCTCGCACTGGCCGTCGCCGCAGACCGGGTCTGTGAAGACCGGCCGGACTGCGCGGTTCCCGATGTAAGCGAGGACCTGGTCTTCTGATGAGAACGTGAGGCTGTTGGAGGAGGGGTCGTCCAGCAGCGCGCGGCGCAGGGTGGCCACGACGCCGGCCGACTGAAAGGAGCTTGCCTGCGCGGATTCCGGGGTGGGAGCGTTGCCCCGTCGCCGTCAGCGCTGCCTGATGTGATTTGTGCCGGCGCGAGCTGCTGCAACAGCTCCCGAGCGCAGAGTTGATCACGGCGTCAACCGTCAAGTTCAAGGAGCGCCGCCTGCAGCGCGCCTGCTGCACAGCTTGTGGGCTCCCCGGGGCCTGCTGCGTTGATCATTGATGAGGGTCCAACAGACTCGCCTGGAAGTATAACACTACGAAGTACACGCCCACGAAAAGCATGTACAGGAGAGCGTGCCGATAGTTTTCGCACAGGTCCACCGTTTGCTGCACTCGTGGAGCGGCAAGTAAGGGGATGTATGAGGTCACCAGGCGGACTGCTGCTGCAGCGCACAGACTCCCCTGCGAGGGCTGAGCGCGACCGCAATCAATGACAGGCGTAGTATGAAAACGGCAAGCCCAGCTGCATACCTCCACGCGCTCCTGCAGGGCTTTCACGACCTCTTCATTGGTGGGGAAGCGGATCGGCGCAGCCACGCCACGACCTGCGCCGCGCGACCGTGCAGCAAGCATGCCTCGTGCATGCCGCTCTGCCAGCACGCTGCCTTTGGGGCCTGATGCTACGCCGACGCCCTCATCATCACTCCACTTCATATCTAAAATACCTAACAGCAAGGGAATGCACGGTCTCGCGGCGCGGGTCAAACGTGGACGCCAGGGAGGGGATCTGAAGCTCTTATGTCGCTCAGGATAAATAAGTCACCACCACAATCATCTACAACATTCACACGATTAAGAATACCGTAAATGCCGGAGATCTCGCAAGGTGACCACTCTGTCACCGTGGGTAGCTTGCCGGCATGCATTCTTGAAGCGTGCATATCGAAGCACATTCTTCATTCCAAGGGCTTGCCATTGTTCCACTTCAGCAGGGGTGATCTAACAGTCTCGCGGTCCGTGTGCTTCCCCCAGGCTGAACCTGCGGACCTGCGCAAGACGACATATCATAATTAGTTCCCAATTTCCCGTCCTATCATACACCACAAGCCTCCAGTTGCCATTGGGCTTTGCCGCCACGCAGCACTGGCGTTGTGCTGGCCAGTCTGTGCTCTGCTGTTGGACAGTTGGGGGCACGCATGCCGTGGGGCTGGGGTGGTGGTGGCGCCGGGGCCGCTGCGCCGTCAGTTGATGATGACAACCATGTTGTCGAATCGCAGCAGCGCCCATCCCAGCAGGAGCTGCAGGAGCGCCGTGGGTACCCCCAGCACCAGCGGCAGCAGGAAGAGCGGCAGGCTGCCCAGCAGCGCCGCGGGTCCCAGCAGCAGCAACAGCAAAGGCAGCAGCAGCAGAGGCAGCAGCATTGGGGCTCCCAGCAGCCGGGCACAAACCCTGCCGCAGCAGCCGGGCCCCCCGTCCCGCGGTATGCATACGACGCCGGCAACGTGGCCGTGGCCTACTATGGGGCTTTCCCAGATTATGTGAAGCTCATCAAGTCCATACGAGTGGCGCCATTGGTGGGCTTCTGACAACGTCTATGCCCTTCAGGACTTGAAGGCGGGGTTGAACTGTGGCTCGTCTAGTTGCATACTGCGCTGTGCTGCCCGTTTGTCAGAAATGGGGCCAGAGGGGCTCCAATCGTGTCGTGCTGCGCGCTGCTCACACGCGCAGGTGTTCACGGCGACAGCAGCCGTCAACCCGCGCACGCTCGAGCGCTTCATCACCTTCAGCACAAGGGAGACGCTGTTCAATGTGAATGGCGGCGGCTGCAAGCCTGCGTGTATGCACGCCGCTGCTTGCGTTGCACAGTATATTTTATGCTGACCGAGACCTGGTCAGGCATGAGCCCTCTTGCTTCGAACCGGCGCAGCGCTCTGCAATTGAGCCCTTTTCTTGTCGCGCCGTGGACAGGGTGCGTTTATCTGCCATGTGGCGCGCAAGTCGCTGGAATACCGGTGAGGCGCCTTTGGTGCGAGGTGTAAGGGGCTCGAGCACCCAGGCCTCGAGAAGGCTGCGCCTGCACATGGGGTGGTGAATTGCGCGCGGGGCGTAGGCTTTGGGCGCCTTGCCTAGACGCAGCTTTGCTGCAAAGCCGGAGCGCCCTCCTCATGCCTGTCCCCTTTCCGTCGCCCCGCCCGCCCCCTCGGCCACCCCACGCAGCAACAACCTCCCGCTCCCGATTGCTGGGGTCGGCTCTGTTGTCCTGGTGGCAGAGTGGCGCCTGGGACAGCCGGTCCACAAGCCGCGGCTGATGGTGGCGCTCGGCGGGGATGCGGGCGCCGCGGTGATGAGGCCGGGCGCCATATCATGGCGCAAGGCGATTTTCCCGTGGAGGCGGAAGCGCGGCATGCAAGTGGGGATCGAGGTGGGTTGCGAGCTGACGGCCTGGCTGGCTGCAGGCGGACGGATGCTGGGGTGGCAGCAAATGACAGCACATGCAACGCATTGACACACTTGAGCCATGTTGCAGCAAGAACCGCCATGCTTGCAGCCCGTATTGCATCATGCGTGCATCCCTGTCCCTCCACTCCCAAACCCCAATGCACTAATGCCTCGCGCTTGGCATACCGCATCCACCACTTCCCATCCCCCCAAGACTGCGGCGGACGCCTCCGTGTCGATGCAGCACGACTTCAACTCCGAGCAGGCGGGCAGCGGGTTCAAGCTGAACTTTGACGTCAAGGAGCTCAACCTGGTCTGCCGCATCTGATTGCACTCGTCTGCTGGACCTTGGGCTCTCATGCCTCCCACAAATAAGTTTCAACGACCACTTTAAGCGTCTACAAGAGCCACAAGATGGAAAATACGTTCCGGCGATCTCACAGTGACCGACATCGATTGCGGTTCGTGCCGCCCCCAGGCTGACTCTTGTTATCTGCACAGCACGCGGTGCAATAGGTGAAGCATAGCCCAGAATCTCCTTCTAGAACCCGCAACAAGGCCTTGGTCGCCATTGGACCCCCTCTCCACGTCGGCCTTGTCCGGCCAGTCTGTGCCCTGCTGTCGGACACTTGGCGGCAGGCATGCCTTGGGGCTGGGGTGGTGGTGGCGCTGTGGCCACTGCGCCGTTGAATGATGATGAGATCCGTAATGTCAATGCGCAGCAGTGCCCAGCCCAGCAGGAGCTGCAGCAGCGCCGTGGGTACCCCCAGCAGCACCAGCAGCAGCGGGAAGAGCAACAGGCAGCCCAGCAGCGCCGCGGGTCTCAGCAGCAGCAGAGGCAGCAGCAGCAGAGACAGCAGCAGCAGAGGCAGCAGCAGCAGAGGCAGCCGCAGCAGAGGCAGCAGCAGCAGAGGCAGCAGCAGCAGAGGCACCAGCAGCGGCAGCAGCAGTGGGGCTCCCAGCAGCACCCGATGGGCCCAAACTCCGCAGCGACCGGCCCTCCCGTCCCGCAAAACGCTTACAACACCGGCAACGTGGCCGTGGCCTATTGTGGGGCTTTCCCAGACTATGTGAAACTCATCAAGTCCATACGAGTGGCGCCATTGGTGGGCTTATGACAAGGCCTCTGCCTTGCAGGGCTTGAAGGCGGAGTTGCGCTGCGCCTCGCCTACATGCGGACTGCAGGGCGCTGCCGGTCCGTTTGCGATGGGGCAAGAGGCGCCCCAATTGTGTCGTGCTGCGCGCTGCTGACACGCGCAGGTGTTCACTGCAACAGCAGCCGTCAACCCGCGCACGCTCGAGCGCTTCATAACCTTCAGCACAAGGGAAACGCTGTTCAATGTGGGCGGCGGCGGCTGCAAGCGAGCGTTTGCGCATGCCGCCGCTTGCGACGCCCTTTTTGCGTATTGCTGACAGGCACGAGTCCGTCCTGTTGTGTATTTGGAGGTTTGAACCCGCGCAGCGCTCTGCAATCTTCGCCCTCGTCCGTCGACTGGCCGCGCACAGGGCGCGTTCCACTGCCACGTCTCGCGCAAGTCGCTCGAATACCGGTGAGCCGCCGTTGGTGCGAGCTGTTCTTTGTTCGGACATGAGCACGGCTCAATCGCAGCAGGTCTGCAGACGGGGTTGCAAGCTGCGGGCGGGGCGTAGCCTATGGATGCCTCTCCTGAAAGCAGCCTTGTTGCAAAGCCAGAGCGCCTCCTCCAAGTGACTCACGTCTGTCCCCGTGTTGTCGCTCCACGCACCATTCCTTTGCCCCATCGACGCAGCCACATCCTCCCGCTCCCAATCGGCTCCGTCGTCTTGGCGGCAGAGTGGCGCCTGGGGCAGCCGGTCCACAAGCCGCGGCTGACGCTGGCGCTCGGAGGGGATGCGAGTGCCGCGTTGACGCAGCCGGGCGCCTTGCCTTGGCGCAAGGCAGTCTTCCCTTGGAGGCGGATGCGCGGCGCAAAAATCGGGATCGAGGTGCGTCGCGAGCTGACCGAGTGTCTGCTGCACACGGAAGGGTGCTTGAGCAGCAGCAGTGTTCGCTGCATGCAAAGCAGCAGGCAGATGAGCCATGTTGCAGCGAAAGCTTCCGTGCTTGCATCCCTTTTTGCATCACAGGTGCATCCCGGTCCCTCCACTCCCAAACCCAAGCGTCCCTCGCCCGGCCTACCGCATTTTCCAACCCCCATCCCCCAAGGCTGCGGCGGACGTCTCCGCGTCTATGCAGCTCGACTTGTCCGGGCAGACGAGCAGCGGGTTCAAGCTCAACTTCGACATCAAGGAGCTCGACCTGGTCTGCCGCATCTGACCTCAACTGTCTGCTGGTGTGTGGAGTCTGATCCAGGGCGTCACCTGTGTCTGCCACTGCTCGCCAGCCGCCGCGCGGCTGGACGGCGATGTCCCGGCGGCACTCCTCGTCAGCGCACGCGCCCGGCCAGCGCCCACCAGGGTTCGGGCCCCCTGAGCTTTTCCTTTTGCGGACCGTCGTAGACTGCAGCCAAACCATGAAACCCCGTGATGATGTTTTCTCCGGGTTTGCGTCTGCATTGACCTTTTTCTCTCATAATTTCTTTTATGGGACGCATTTTTCACAGCAGCAAGGAGTTTGTGCATGCACGGGCTGCCCAGACCACTTCAACTGTGAGAGCTCCTTACAGTAACCGAATGCAATGCAACTCAACACAAGCCGCCGACCAATGAACACGAGGGTGTTCCAGAAACCAGCACGTGTGTGAGCCAGGCACATGCACATATGCTTTCTGAGCAACTGCAACAAAACCTGCATGCACAGCTTGACCAATGAGCATGTACATAGTGATGTGTGATTCTTGGACTGCTTAGTGCGATGGGAAAACAGAATGCAGGCAGCCAGGATGGGCGACCAATCCCGCAAATTCATAAAAGCCAAGCCATGGTGTGGAGTGATGATTCACTGGACAGGACTCACACGATGTGTCACACCAACGTCATCTACAAAGCAGAGGGGTGTGCACGAAGCCAGAATGACAGCGTCACGCTGCGACAAACGGAGACGCCCCGATTGTCGAACCCAAGGTAAACCCACCGGGTTTTGAAACGGCAACATGCACGGGGGCCGCACGCAGGTTGGAGGAGTCTGGAGGCTGTTCGTCCGAGCCCCACAGGTGGGCCGGTGGGCACACAGGCCAATCCCAGCGGCGCATTCTCAGCAGCACTCGTGCCAGACCCATCTTCAGTAGCACTCGTGCCAGGCCCACCCATGCTCTTCCAGGTAGACGCTGACGGCGGTGCGCATCGATATGTTGGGCCGCACGTCCGCGAGCGTCATGGGGATGCGCGTGATGGGGTCCCACCCGCCGACCTAGGCGTGCGTGAGGGCAGCAGCGCCAGCAGGATGTCAGCAGGCGGGGTTTGCGACCGTGTTGCCTGCAGCAGTGCTATGAACAGCTAATACCACCCACGCCCCTGCGCCCTGTTGCCAGCCACATCTCCCTCAAGCCAACAAGGCGCGAATTCAGCTCTGCACTGATCATAGTTTGACGCTCAGCGGGGCCGAAGAGCCTGCAGCGCGTACCCACCTTGGCAATGTGCTCGGTCAGCGCCGCGCGCTCGTAGGTGTGGCCGCTCTTAGACACCACCGGGTCGCGGAAGACCTCCATCGTCAGGGGGCACGTGAAAGCGGAGGGCACCTCGCCGCGCGTGTCCGCACGAGCGGCGCGCTCAAAGACGCGGTCCAACGCCACCCAATTGACCTCGGCCGCCCCCGCGGAGCCCGCCACGCCAGCTGCGGCGCTGCCCGGCTCCTGGGCGCCTGCGCTGCTGCTGCCTTCCGCCTTGCGAGCACTCATATCCGTGCCACCACCGCCAGCCTGTGCGCCGCTGCTGGCCCCCGCCCCATCTCTGTCCTCGCTGCCGCTGCTTTCCTGCTGCGACAAGCCCCCCGTGGATGAAACCGCCGCTGCCACTGCCGCCAGCTTGCGCAGCTGGCTGCGAAGGGCCTCCGCCTCGCTGCGCCGCCGCGCGCTCTCCTCCCGCCAGCACGCGTCGTTGGCCTTTGCCAGTTCCCTCCTGCAGGGCCATGAAGCGAGTGTGGGTGCACGCTAGTTCAAAACAATGCAAGAAGGCGTATTTAGAGCCATCTTGAGGTTGTTGCTGTGAGCAAGTGCTGTGGAGGTGTCTCCTGGCTCCCCAAAGGAGAGCAACACACACCATGTCCATTGGGTGCGATCTGCCCCACATGCCGCAGGGCCTCTGCGCAACCACTGCCGCCTGCGCACGATTGGCTGGCTCACACAGCCAGCTCATGACCAGCCAGTGCTCCCGCTGAAGATGCCTCGCCCCCCTCCCCATGCATCTGCGGCCCCACCATATCTCGTCCTTGATGGCGTCATCCTGCTCCCGCGCCCGCTCCAGCGCGCGCTCCAGCAGCCTGATGGCCCTCCCCAGGTCGCCGCCGAGCTCGCGCAGCGCCATGCCTACAGGGGCGGGGGCACGGCGGGGCGCGCGGCAGTGATGCGAGCTTTGGACGTGAGGAGCGACAGCAGAGGGCGCGCCTTGTGGGACATGCGTGGACATGCAGTTGGGCGTTGCAGAACACTGTGACCGCAGCTGTGGCTGGTGACGTGATCCATCGTCATGTGCACTGCGCGCACCGCAGAGGTAGTTTGCCTTCATGTGGTTGGGCTCGCGCGCGAGCGCCCTCTCCGCGTCTTCCAGTATGCGCTCCCAGGCGCCCGGCGCGGCCTGCTTCTTGGCGCACAGGGCTCGGTTCACGTACAGCGACGCGCTCTGCGGGTCGAGGGTGATGGCCTCTGGCGCGCGATGCAGGAAGGGTTGAGGCAAGCGTGTGTGCGTGCGTGTGTGTTGTAAGTGTGTGTTCATAGGTTTGCGTGTGTGTTTGTGTGTGTCTCTGCTTGTGTGCGTGCGTTTGTCCGCGAGTGCATGAGTGCGTGTGTGTGTTTGTGTGTGTGTGTGTGTGTGTGTGTGTGTGTGTGTGTGTGTGTGCGCGCGCGTATGTACGTGTGTGCGTGTGCGCATGTGTGCGCCTGCAAACACGGGGAGTGAGCAATGACCCACCAGGCATGAGACTCAAGCAGTTCTGCTGCCTGCACCGCCCCCGCGCGCGCATGCTACGCCCGCTTCGCCTTCAGGATGCAACTTGGGGCACCCCACCTGTGTATCGCTCCGAGGCGGCTGCGTACTTGCCGCGCTGGAACAGGGCGTTGCCCTCCTTGCGCAGCTCCTCCGCGGCCCGTTTCTCGCCCGCCGTCACCCCCATCGCGGCGGGGTCTCCTAGCCGGCGCCTTGTTGCTGGCCCGCAAGCTGCTGCGTGACTGCCTGCGCAGCAGCTGCACGGGCTTGACACGCCCACGGGCTGCCGCCGGAAGTGTCGCCTTGCCCCTCACAAACCGTGCGTACTCAACAATCGGCGCGACAGTGGGCGCCTCAAGAAAGTGTCGGACAATTGAGTGCATGCATGCTGGGTGTGTGCAAGCGCGAGCTGGGTGGTCGGCGCACCACCTGTACTAGGCAATGCTGCTGCCCTAAGCGCCTTTGCTGGCCCAGACGACTGCCAAGCTCCCAACTTTACGAGCGAGAGTACAGCGAACAATCACTGGAGCTGCCCTGAGCTCTTTGCGGCAAAACATCTCACACAATTGGCTCACGACACTCGATTTGAACAGGCTGCAACGCTTCTCAGAAAGGCATCCCAACAAACCGCTAATGACCAATGATGATTGTTTGTAGCCACGCGGTCATCTTGTGGACTCCCGAACTGACGTACAAAATTGCCAGATCGCACACCGTAAAGTTTGAAATGTTGAAATCCAATTGATGCATGTAGCAATATATCACATAAAGCCTGTGGGTGGACATGAACTGTGAGTGCGTTTAGCGGGGGACAGATGGAGGAACGTGGGGACTCGGTCGGCGTGCTCGCGCTGGTTCGGGACCTTCCTCACGTTCTGCGAAGCCAATGGGGAGGCGGACGTGGCGATCGAGCCGCACACCGCTTGGCCCAACACCTGGACCGCGAGCTGCAGGTGAGCTCAGTTTTGGTGCTGTTCGCACCCGCAAGCATGGGGCGCCTGCATGGCGACGCAACGACGCTCACACACGTCGTTGTTTCTGCAGGCCATCCATACACAATTCACGACCCAAAGGGCTAGCGAGAGCCTTTACAGGCGCAGGTGCGGGCCGCGCGACAGCCGGGCGTTCAAACCGCCGCCATGCCGCCAAGCGGTGCAGAACCCGACTGCAGGCTGCTGCGCTCGCCGCGCTGAACAACACCAGGGCTGCCGAGCTCAAGCGCGACCAGGCGGTACTGGAGCTCTGCTTTGAGGTGTACTGGGCCGAGCTGGTCGGCCTGGGCGCCCCGCCTGACGGCTTGTTTGTGCAGGTGGGGTGCACACTGGCTGTAGCGCCCGGTGTGGCAATCCCTCCCAGGGGCCTCGCCCTGGGCTTGCATGCGTCCCATGGCTTGCAGGTTTTAGTACATGCAAAGTTCAATAGCTGTGATTTTCTTCAACGTTGACGCCGCTGCCCAACCTGTGATTTTGGATGAAACCATCCACCAGAGGATGTGGGACCTGAGCCGCGCGCTGCTGCAGAACTGGAGGCACCTGCAGGACTCCCAGGAGACCGAGCACATGGCCGAAGCGGCTGAGGCTCAGCGGCTGAAGACCACCAACAAGGCGAGCCCCCGGCAGCCAAACTCGACGCGAGCACGTGCGCATTGCGCCACACACCCGCCTCTGGCGACCGGACTGCCGCGATGCACGTTTGCGCTGATTTCGCGCTCCTCGGCCGCGCCTTGCGCCAGGTGCTCAAGCGGCAGGTGCGGGAGCTGCAGGAGAAGACAGCCTCTCTCGTCGAAGACATCGCCACTCTCTTCCGCCAGCCTCCGTTGGACCTTGGGCAGTCCGCCGCCTTCAAGCCGCCGCGTGACGGCTCGGCGGCGAGCGCCGCGGAAGCAGCAGCCGCGGGAGTGCCAGAGGCGGCGGGGGCCGCCGCACCAAGAAGGGCGCACACACCACCACGCCGGTCGGCGCGCCGCGGCTCGCGGGATGCTGCGGGTTCGGCGCCCCAGGTGGCGTCGCCGGAGCGCACGAGTAGGTCGCAGCGGGTGCAGTTGGAGAGTCCGGCACCGCTCCCTCAAAGGGAGTCATCGGCGCGCGATGTGGCAGTGTCGCCAGGCCCCCAGTCGCGCCGGGACGCAGCTGCCGACCAGGACAAGCAGCAGCGCGGCGAGGGGTCTGGGGGCGGCAGCGCGCGTGCTTGCCGGGAAGGCAGGCGCTTGGCGAGGGTAGAGCGGTGGAGCAGCGATAGCGCAGACGGGGGCGGCGGCAGCGGCGGCGCAGGCACTGCATCGGGGCTCGCTGCCGGCGCGCAGCCCTCTCAACGTGGGACAAGGGGCGGCGGCAGACGCGGCAGCGGCGGCAGCGCCGACAGTGAGGGCGGCGGCGCGAGCAGCAGCAGCGGCAGCAGCGGCGCGCGCGCCTCAAGTGGGAGCCCGGTGGGGGGTGACCTGCTGATGAGCGGCTTGGCCAGCCCGCGCAGCAGCGTGGCCAGCACGCCGGACAAGGCAGCAAAGCGGCCGGCCGACGCGGGCCCATCAGCCAGCGACAACAGCGCCGGCGCCGGCGGCCGCCGCAGCATCAGCGGCGGCTGCGGCGGGGCCGACGAAGTTGCTGCGCAGCGGCGAGTGTTGCCGCTGGGAACGTCGGGCGCGACTGGCCGACCCTCGAGCGCCGCAGGCTCGCCTCTGACCGGCGCCCGCCGCAATGCGGCCGGCTCTCGGCGCGCACCCTCTGCAGGGGGGCCTGCGAAGCAGCTTCTGATGGAGCGCCTGCCACATGGGGTGCCCTCGGCAGCGACGCAAGGGCTCGCAGCTGCTAGCACCTTGGCCGCGGCCTCAGGCATGGCTGGCGCGGCCTCGCGGGCGCCGGGCGCCCTCCCGGCGAACGCCGAGCCCGACGTCCGTGGTCCCGCGCCCCTGCTGGCCGCGAGCCCGGGGTTTCTCGCCAGGCGCGCGCGGGGCGCGCGGACGCGCAGCGCCGAGGAGCACCTGGCGGCAGTGGATCGCTGGTTCAGGGTGCTGGCCGCCAGCCGCCCGGGCGAGGCGGCGCGGCCCGCCGCGCCAGAGCAGGACCAGCTGTCCACAAACGCCGTGCCGCGCACGGGCGAGCGGGGCGGGCCGGGCGGGGCGGCGGCGGCCACGGGCGAGGCGCCGCCGCAGCAGCTTGTGGAGCGGCGGCAGCAGCTGCCGCAGCAGCAGGTGCACCTGGGGGGCATGGGGCAGCAACACGGACCGCCGGGATCGCAGCTTCTGCCTCAGCATGCGGACATGCAGGCGTCACGGCAGCCAGGCGCACAGGCGCAGCACGCTGAGCAGCTGTCGCCGGCGCCGGCCGTGGCTACTGCGCAAGCAGCTCAGGAGCGCAAGCGGGCCTACCAACATACGGCACTTGCACAGGATCAGCAGCAGAAGCAGTTACAGGCTGAGCAGCAGCAGCAGCAGCAGCAGCAGCAGCAGCAGCAGCAGCAGCAGCAGCAGCAGCAGGCTGTGGCTGTCTCCCGTCCTGGGCTGCCTCCGCTCAACGAGCCCTCCAACAGGCCTCCCGAGGACGCAGGCGCGGCCAAACACCTGCCCGCTGGCCGGGATGCAGGCGCAGGCCGCACGCCTGGCCGCGCCGCATCCAGCACTCCGCCACCCCTGGCAGCCTCTGCGCCCGCCGTGGGCCTTGGGTCGGGCGCGAGCGCAGACGCCGCCGCCGCCCGCGGGGCCCCGCCCCCGCCGCCAGGAGCGCTCGATGGGCGGCTGTCCAGCAGGGCGCTCTCGCCGCCGACTGCTGGCGCGCACCAGCAGTCCGACAGCGGCGTCCTGCTAGGGTCAGGGGGAGGGCCTGGCCTAGATGCGGAGGACTCGGGCAGGTCAGTCGGGACGGCCGGCGCCGCGCAGCCCAGCAGCGAGCCAGGCGCGCGCGCCAGCACGCCGCAGCCGCAGCCGGCGCAGCCGGCGGGCGAAGACGCGGCGCCGGGGGCCGCTTTGGCCGCGGCCGCCGCGGCACGCCGGCCGGCGGGCGGGCTCGTTCGTCAGTGCTCGGACGACGTCCTTGTGGGGTCGGTCGTGTCCGCGGCGACCGGCGCTGTGGCGGCTGGTGAGCCATCTGGCGGCAGCTCCGTTGCAGGGGGGGCCGGCGGCGGCTCTCTGCAGGCGACGCCGGTCAAGCTGGCCAGGGGCGCCGGATGCGGGCTGCGGGCTGCGGCCCAGGCGAGGGGGTTGGTCATGAGCCCGGAGCACAGCGTGTCGTCGGCGCTGCAGCCCGGGGCCCAAAGCCTGGCTCTGCCCGTGACTGTTAGCAGCCCCGAAAGTCCAGCCGCCCGTGCGGCGCCGGCGGCTCGCGGCGAGCAGCTGCCGGCCACCGCCGTGGCGGGCGGCAGCTGCGAGGCAGCTCGCGGGGATGGCGCGCCCGCGCAGGGCCCGGAGGGAGCGGCCGCGAGCGCGGAGGCGGAGGCGGAGCCGGAGGCACGGGCGGAAGGGCAGGCGATCAGCAGCTCTCAGGCGCGGCTGCGGGCGCTGTCGCCGATTGAGGAGGAGTCCTGCCTGACCGCGGGCAGCCAAGAGACAGCGCAGGGCCAGGGCGCCGGGCCCGTGGCCGCTGCGCAGGAGGAGGCCAGCAGTGGGGGGCCCTCGGCGGCCGCAGGCGGCGGGACGGGGACGGCGAACGGGCCGAGCCAGCTGTCACATTCAAGCAGGGCTTGCGTTGACGACGCTCTGCGGGAGCCTGTTGAAGATCCCGGGCGTGCAGAAACAGCCGCAGCGCCAGCGACGCTGCCGAAGGCACAACAGAGCATGCAGCAGGAGCGAAGCGAGGCAGGTGCAGCAAGCAAGCAGGAGGTAGCTTCACCGCCTGCTGCCGCACGAGCCGCCAGCTCACAGGTTGCTGAGTCAGCCGACGGCGTGCTGTCCGTTGCGCAGCGGCAGCAGCTGGCGCGGGTGCAGCGGCAGCAGGAGCAGCAGCAGCAGCAGCAGCAGCAGCAGCAGCGGCAGGCGCTGTGGGCGCAGCAGGGGGAGCCAGCTGCCATCCAGGGAACGGCTGTGGGCGTGGCGTCTGGAGGAGCCCATGCTGCGGCCCACCCAGGGGTGCCCTCACACGAAGAGCCCCGGCCTGCCTCGCAGCCAGCGCCGCTGCAGGATGCCTTCCCGGTGCCGTCGCCATCGCCGCGACAGCAGCAGCAGCAGCAGCAGCAGCAGCAGCAGCAGGATGACGAGCAGCAGCGGCCGACGGTGCAACCGGACAAGCGGCGGCGATGCGCTGGCAAGCACCAGCGGTCTGCGGACGGCTTGGGCGAGGAGGCCTCCTTTGGGCATCTGCTAGCAGAGGCTGCGCCCGCGGCCGCGGCGCCGTTCGTTGCGCTCGGCATGAGCAGCGGCGCTGGCGTTGGTGGCGCATCGAAGGCGTCGGGGGAGCGGCCCCTCGGCTCGGGGGAGCGGCCCCACAGCACGGGCTGCGAGCTGGCTGTGGCGCCTGTTGCGGCAGCGCCGGTTGCAGCTGTGCATCAGGAGGAGCTCCGGCCGCAACAGCAGCAGCAGCAGCAGCAGCGGGCAGCACCCTTGCCTACCCAGCAGCATGCCCCAAGGGCAAACGGCACGCCACGCCTGCTGCGGGAGCTGCCCAGATCGCCGGTGCCTGGGCCGACTGAGCAGCAGCAGCAGCACCCGGCCGCATCCGGCTCTGGTTCGTCTGCATCTGCATCCGTGGGGCCGGCTTTCGGCCGGCCAGGTTCCGCCGCACAGCGCGCGTCCCGGCTGCCCTCGGCCCCAGCTGAGCAGCGAAGCGCTCCACTTGCCGCACCCGCAGCGCCGGCTACATCAGCATCCTCCGCCGCGCCGCGCGCGCGCGCCGTGCCGCCCGCCCTGGTCCTGCCCCCGCCGCCGCCGCTCGCGCGCGCGCCGGCGCGGCTCAGCGGGCGCGCGTCGCCGGCGG